GTCCTTTTTTGTCTGTGAAGCTCCTGATTTCACCTTCAATTTTGATTGATAGCCTTACTGGTTACAGTATTTTTGGCTTCAGACCCTTCTTTTGCATGACTATGTATATTTTATTCCATTCCCTTCTGGTCTGATGTGTTTCGGTTGAGAAATCAGTCACTAGTCTGATGGGGGATCCTTTGTAGGTACCTTTCTATCTCTCTCTGGCCGCTTTTAAATTCTTACTTTTTTGTTGGTGTTTTCCAGTTTAATTTAAATATGTTTTGGTGTTAGTCTTTTGGGGTTCATTTTATTTGGGAATTTGTAAGCTTCTTGGATTTGTGTTTTTTTCTTCCCTATATCAAGGGAGTTTTCTGTCATTATTTCTTCAAACAGGTTTTCTATTCCTTGCTCAGTTTCTTCTCCTTCTGGCACCCCTATTATGCAGATGTTGCTTTTTTTGTGTGTTGTCCCAAAGTTCCCTTAGGCTCTCCTCCTGCTTTTTAATATTTTTTTTTCTAGAAGCTGTTCTACTGGGTTATTTTTTCCTACCTTGTCTTCTAGATCACTGTTGCAGTTTTTTGCTTCTTCTAGTCTACTCTTGATACTTTCTATTGAGTTCTTTATAGCAGTGATAACATTTTTCATTTCTTCTTGGTTCTTTGTTCTTACACATGTTGTTGAATTTGTCTTCTGTTGTTATTTTCATCCACATTAAGACCATTTTTCTGAATTCTTTCTCTGACAGATTGCTTGCTTTCATTTCGTTTACTTCCTTTTCTGGTAATTCCTGCTTTTTTTTTCATATGCCTGCTATTTCTTTGTCTCCCCACGATCTCTCTTCTCTGGGTGACTGGTTATATAGTTCTCTCTTCTGTGTAGATTTAAAAACATAAAATAAAACACAGCATGTTATGGCACACAAGGCACTGGACAGAAATGTAGTCACAATATTAATGATTCCAAATAAAGGTGACCACCAGAGAAAGGCAAATTAGAGAATAATGGAGAAAGGAAAAAAGAAAAAAAAAAGTAAAAGGAGTATAAAAATGAAATTGGGTGGAGGAAAATAATGTAAGAGAGAAAAGAGAGAGAATAAGAAAGAAGAGGGGGAATATATATATATATATATATATATATATATTAAGAAGATATATATATATATATTAAGAAGATTCCAGTAGAACAGCCACTAATCCCAACACATGCCAGCAACAAGTACCTGGAGATGAATGCAACTACAAACAACAACTAATATCAAGTGAGGTGAGGATAAACAGGAGCAACAAACAAAAACAAAAGAAAAGAACAAAAAGGAAAAAGCAAAATAATCTTGCAAACCAGCATAAAAAATTGATATAGTTAACAATCAAGCAAACAACAGAAAACAGAGAGATAAAATATTTGGATAGTGAAGGAATAGAAGAGAGAGGTGTGTGGTATTAGAGTAAGGGGTTGGAAATTAAATATATAAGTAGGGTGAAATTTTAACAGGAGGTAAAAGAAGGAATCTGGAAAATCTAAAGCAGAAATAGGGTAAGAGAAACAGAACAACAAAGGGGGTTAAGTGAGGAAGAGAGTGATGTCATAAAAGTAAAGTTGAGATAGAGTAAAATGATGCTAAAGGAAATATGAAAATAGAATTTAGAACACTAATCCCAAAATAAAATAAAGAGAAAATGAAAAGATACTTAAAAAATACATAAAATAGTAGTAATAATACTGATTGAAAATAAAAATGTAATAATTAAAAAGGTAAAACCAAGTTAGGAAAAAAGAAAAAAATTAGTTTCTTAAGTAAAAGATGAAAAAATAAATAAAAATAAAAATGTACAGTTGTCAAGGTCATTCTTTTCCTCTACTGTTCTGTTTGGCATGTCTGTTTCCTTCTTAGGACAGTATTGAAGTTTCATGCATTCCACTGCTCCTCAGTGTTGTAAGCCAGTCCTGATTTTTAAGCAGGCAGTATGTCTTTATTTCTTCTATTCTTTTGTGTTTACACAAGGGTCAATTTGTGATTCAACCCGTGGGTTGCAGTGTTTCTGGATTGACCTCTGGGTCTATAGGTCCTCTCTAGCTAGTGTTTAGATTTTGTTTTCCCTGTGGCACTAAATACCAGTTTGAGCGTGGGTTTCCCCAGAGCTGGTTCTCTGATGGGTATTCCCTGCTCTGATCCCAGGTTCCAGGAAAACAACTTTCCTCTGCAGTCTGTTGGAGTGTCCCTAATTGGGTGATCCTATGTATCGAGCTTAGTTATCAGAAGCAAGGATTTAAAGAGGGAAAAGAGAAAGAAAGAAAGAAAGAAAGAAAGAAAGAAAGAAAGAAAGAAAGAAAGAAAGAAAGAAAGAAAGAAAGAAAGAAAGAAAGAAAGAAGGAAGGAAGGAAGGAAGGAAGGAAGGAAGGAAGGAAGGAAGGAAGGAAGGAAGGAAGGAAGGAAGGAAGAAAGAAAGAAAGAAAGAAAGAAAGAAAGAAAGAAAGAAAGAAAGAAAGAAAGAAAGAAAGAAAGAAAGAAAGAAAGAAAGAAAGAAAGAAAGAGGAAGGGAAGAAAGAAAGAGGAAGGGAAGGGAAGGGAAGGGAAAGGAAGGGAAGGGAAGGGAAGGGAAGGGAAGGGAAGGGAAGGGAAGGGAAGGGAAGGGAAGGGAAGGGAAGGGAAGGGAAGGGAAGGGAAGGGAAGGGAAGGGAAGGGAAGGGAAGGGAAGGGAAGGGAAGGGAAGGGAAGGGAAGGGAAGGGAAGGGAAGGGAAGGGAAGGAGGGAGGGAGGGAGGAAGGAAGGAAGGAAGGAAGGAAGGAAATAAAAAGAGCCAGAGTAAGTGTGTGAGCTCTGGGGCTGTGTGACAGTCTGTGCAGTCTTTTTTCTCCTTTGGTTCTAAGCAGCCAGCACAGTTTTAACATTTTTAGGCTGTCCTTTTGCACCCAGATCAAAATGGGTTGCTTTTTAGAGTTCCATTCCGTTAGGACCTTCCACATTCACGGATCACGCTAGCCCCAACAGCTGCAGATTCTTCTGGTCGAAGACCTCCCCAGGTCCTCCAGCTCCCACTATGTGTGCGTTTCCCTCTCCTTCTGGGACCACAGACCTCACCTTATCCCAGGTGAAATCTGACCTTTCCATGAGGGTGTAGCGCTCCTCTGAATCCAGGTGCTTGCGCCACTTGGGGCCCGGTGCTCTCGGGTACACAGCTATTCAGTGGGTGCCATAGTTGTAGATTCTCAGGGCTTTCCAGGCTTCTGATAGCATCCACTTTCCCCTTCAAGGCTGGCGCAGTCTCTGTGTCTGAGCTGGTCACTCTGGGAGGGAACCCAGTAGCAGTGGGGGCTGCCCTGTCAGGGGAGCCCAGTCCAGCAGTCTCCCACAATCTCCTAAAGTATAGCTTTTCCTCAACTCACCAACAAACATTCCCTGTGCGACCACACACTCTCCCTTTTCCCCCCCTCACTCACTCACTCACTATCTTGTAGTCTGTCTTCCCATCGGCAGCCATCTTATTTCACTACTATTACTTTTAACTCTTTATGGTGACTGGAATTAGTTGCTGATTTTACTCTAAGAGTATTTTCTCAACATATGTTAGGCCAGTTGTAGGTAAACTGCGGCTCACAAGCCACATGTGGTTCTTTGGCCCCTTGGGTTTTTAGCAAAGAACAGCTTAGGAGTACCCTAATTAACTTAATAACAATGTGCCTACCTATATAGTTTAAGTTTAAAAAATTTGGCTCTCAAAAAAAATTTCAATCATTGTACTGTTGGTATTTGGCTCTGTTGACTAATGAGTTTGCCGACCACTGGATTAAGCTATTTCCATATTTCATTATTGTTCTTTAGAAATGAATGGAAACTTTTAAAAGACATGAATATTTCTAAAGTGTTTTACAGGGAATTTAAAGGATCTCAAAAGATTACCATCATATCTCTAGAGGCAAATTTTAATTTGTATCTATAGTAGGATTAACTGTATAGTTGCAATTGGTTTTAGATAATTGGTCAAACACTTGTTGAGCTCCTAATTTGCCCCAGATTCTGTGCTCGGCAGTTGGAGGTAGAAGAAGAGGGAAGTCCTGCCTTCCCTAGGGAAGCTCTCTTTGTATGAGGAGGATGCCGTGGAAGCAGTTGTTACCGAGTAACAAGTAGTAACTCAGGGTGTGAGAGGAGAGAAAGGGAGAAGTTGTGCAGTGTGGCACAGCACCCGTCCCCACGCGGCAGAGGTGTCCTGGAGGTAGGTGGGAAGTGGGGATAACCTTTCCGGGAAAAGGAGGAAGCAAAAGGCCTGCTGGTCAGAGAGAGCAGCACGTGTGAGGCAGGGTCCTGATGAGCGTCTTATAGCTTACGAGTAGCATTCTTAATATCATGGAAAGTATTCTCTGAGGTTCTCTTATTTGAACATGAAGGGAGAGTTAAATTCTGAGAGTTGTTTGATCTGTTTTTGGATGTGAGAGAATCTTAAAACAATGCTCTTTAACTCTCTAGGTAAGGAAACTGAGGCCCAGAGAGACCTCTGGTCCCCAACTTGTGAGCCTCAGGCCAACCCCAGCACTCACACACCTCTGCCTTCGATACATGTATTTTGTCACACTGTCTCCTGAGCTAATAGTTATTATTGGCTTTCATGGACTTCAGTAAAATGTTCTTGCTTCAATATCACAGAAGGCAATATGTCTTAATGTAGAAAACAAATAGAAATAGAAATCTCGGCAGTTTTCATTTCTTAAGGAAAAATCCCCACGCTAAAATCTTATTTTAAATGCTTTTATAATAAAGGGAATTTATCATAGGTGTTTGCAAGTTGGATTATAGGTAGTATGTCAAGGGCAGCATTTTATGATTTCTTCCTAAATTCTCATTGTTGAAAGTTAGAGCATGTAAAGGGTTTACTGTAGAGCTGCACATGGTATTGCACGAAAGCAGTTCATAGAGTATGAGAACAATTGTAATACGTGATTGTTTGACATTTTATCCAAGGAAAAACACACTTTTATAGGTTTAACTTACTGTGATGTTTTCTTCTATTCCCCTCCCCCCTCAGGTGTTGCCTGGTCACCTTAGAAGAAAGAACAGCTCGTGTGCTACTATATTTGTTGACAGCAGTATTTCTCATCCTGATCTGAGAATCGGCGTGCAGAGGTGAGCACAAACCTCAAACAGACCCCTTATCCTGCCCATATGTACTTTCATTTGTCCTTTTTGGTGATCAGGTTAAAAAACTGGTGTCAATTATATATTGATTTCTACTTCCATTTTATTTTTTTCCTCCATTTTTTAAATTAAGGTATTATTTGTGTACATGTCTTACATTGCACCCCCACCCCACTCTCATTTATGCCTTCACGCCCCAGAGTTTTGAGTTCATTGGTTATGCTTATATGCATGCATACAAGTCTTTCAGTTGATCTCTTACCTCCCCCACTTCTCCCTAACCTTCCCGCTGTAATTTTACAGTGTGTTTGATGCTTTACTGCCTCTCTATTTATCTTTTTGTTCATCAGTTTATAATGTTCTTTATTATCCCAAAATAAGTGAGATCCTGTGGTATTTTCCTTTCATTGACTGGATTATTTCACTTAGCACAATGTTCTCCAGTTACATCCAGGTTGCTGCAAATGGTAGGAATGGCTTCTTTTTTATGGCAGCGTAGTATTCCATTGTGTAGATGTACAATTGTTTTGTGATCCAGTCATCTGCTGATGGGCACTTAGGCTGTTTCCAAATCTTAGCTATTGTAAATTGTGCTGCTATGAACATAGGGGTGCATATATCCTTTCTGATGGGTATTTCTAGTTTCTTCAGATATATTCCTAGAAGTAAGATTACTGGGTCAAATGGGAATTCCATTTTCAGTTTTTTGAGGAAAGTCCATACTGTTCTCCACAGTGCTGCAACAGTCTGCATTCCCATCAGCAGTGCACGAGGGTTCCTTTTTCTCCACAACCTCGCCAACAATTGAGTTTGTTGATTTGTTGATGTTGGCCATTCTGACAGGTGTGAGATGGTACTACATTGTTGTTTTGATTTGCATCTCTCTGATAATTAGTGACTTTGAGCATGTTTTCATGTGCCTCTTGGCCTTCCTTCTGTCTTCTTTTGAAAATATTCTATTTAGGTCCATTGCCCATTTTTTATTAGATCATTTATCTTCCTTTTATTTAGTTGTATAAGCTGTCTGTAGATGTTGGAGATTAAACCTTTATCAATGATAACATTTGCAAATATGTTCTCCCATACAGTGGGCTTTCTTATTGTCCCATTTGTTTATTTTCTCTTTTTAAAAAAAATATATTTTATTGATTTTGTACAGAGAGGAAGGGAGAGAGAAAGAGAGTTAGAAACATCGATGAGAGAGAATCATTGATCAGCTGCCTCTTGCACACACCCTATTGGGCATATGCCCGCAAACAAGGTACATGCCCCTGACCGGAATCGAACCCGGGACATTTCAGTCCCTAAGCCGACACTCTATCCATTGAGCCAAACTGGTTTCGGCTGTTCATTTTCTCTTTAACTGCTATTGTTCTAGGAACAGTATCAGTGAAGAAGTTCTTTTGGCATATGTCAGAGATTTTGCTACCTGTGGATGCTTCTAGTATTTTTATGGTTTCCCGTCTGATGTTTAAGTCCTGTATCCATTTTGAGTTTATTTTTGTATATGGTGTAAGTTGGTGATCTAGTTTTATTTTTTTTCAAGTGTCTGTCCAATTTTTCCAACACCATTTATTGAAGAGACTGTCTTGACTCCATTGTATGTTCATACTTCCTTTGTCAAGTATTAATTGAGTATAGAGGTTTGGGTCAATATCTGAATTCTCTATTCTATTCCATTAATCTATATGTCTGTTCTTGTGCCAGTATCAGGCTGTTTTGAGAACAGTGGATTTGTAATACAGCTTGAAATCTGGTATTGAGATCCCTCCTACTTTATTCTTCTTTCTCAGGATTGCTGTGGCTATTTGGGGTCTTTTTTTGTTCCAGTTGAATTTTTGGACAATTCTTTCTAGGTCAGTGAAATATGCCCTTGGTGTTTTAATGGGGAGTGCATTGAATCTACAGATTGCTTTGGGTAGTATGGGCATTTTGATGATAGTGATTCTATCAATCCATGAACATGGTGTGTTCTTCCATCTGTTTACATCTTCCTCTATCTCTTTTTTCAGTGTCATGAAGTTTTCTGCATATAGGTCTTTTATCTCCTTAGTTAAGTTTATTCCTAGGTATCTTAGTTTTTTGGTCTGATGGTAAATGGGATTGCTTTTTTAGTCTCTGTTTCTGTAAGCTGACTGTTGGTGTATAGAAATGCCATAGATTTCTTGGCGTTAATTTATAAAAAATATATTTTATTGATTTTTTGCAGAGAGGAAGGGAGAGAGATAGAGAGCTAGAAATGTCGATGAGAGAGAAACATCGAACAGCTGCCTCTTGCACACCCCTTACAGGGGATGTGCTCGCAACCAACGTGCATGCCTCTGTCCGGAATTGAACCTGAGACCTTTCAGTCCACAGACCGACGCTATAGCACTGAGCCAAACCGATTTCAGCTTGGCATTAATTTTGTATCCTGCTACATTGCCAAATTCATTTATTAAGTCAATTAGTTTTTTGATGGAGTCTTTTGGTTTTTTTTATGTATAATATCATGTCATCTGTAAATAAGGATAACTTTATTTCTTCTTTTCCAATTTGGATGCCTTTTATTTCTTCTTCCTGTCCAATTGCAATGGCTAGTACTTCCAGTACTATGTCAAACATGAGTGGTGGGAGTGGGCATCCCTGTCTTATTCTTGTTCTTTGAGGGAATGGTTTTAGTTTTTGCCCATTGAGTATGATGTTTGCTGTGGCTTTATCATATATAGCTTTTATTATGTTGAAGTATGATCCTTCTATTCCCACCTTGTTGAGAGTTTTTATCAGGAAAGGGTATTGGATTTTATCAAAAGCTTTTTCTGAATTGATTGATATGACTACTGGTATATAATTTTTATCTCTCAATTTGTTTATGTGATGTATCACGTTTACTCTTTTGCGGATATTGTACCATCCTTGCATTCCTGGAATAAATCCTACTTAGTCATGGTGTATGATCTTTCTGATGTCCTGCTGGAGCCAATTTGTTAGAATTTTGGCATTTAGGTTCATGAGGGATATTGTCCTGTAATTCTTTTTCATTGTGTTGTCTTTATCTGATTTTGGTATTAGGGTGATGCTGGCTTCATAGAAGGAGTTTGGAAGTGTTCCTTCCTCTTGAATTTTTTGGAATAGTCTGAGAAGGATGGGTTTTAGTTCTTCCTTGAATGTTTGGTAAAACTCTCCTGTAAAGCCATATGGCCCTGGGCTTTTGTTTGCTGGAAGTTTTTTGATGACTGTTTCAATTTCTTCCAAAGTCACTGGCCTATTGAGATTTTTAGATTCTTCCTGATTGAGTTTTGGAAAGTTATATTTTTCTAGGAATGTATCCATTTCCTCCAGGTTGTCCAGTTTGTTGGAACAGAGTTGTTCATAGTATTTTGTAACAATTCTTTATATTTCAGCGAGGTCTGTTGTTATTTTACCTCCTTCATTTCTGATTTTGTTTATTTGGGTCCTCTCTCTTTTTTTCTTGGTTAGCCTGGCTAGAGGCTTATTAATCTTGTTTATCCTTTGAAAGAACCAGCTCTTGGTTTTGTTGATCTTATATATTGTTTATTTGGTGTCTATGTCATTTATCTCCGCTCTGATTTTTGTTATTTCCTTCCTTCTGCTTACACTGGGCTTCTCTTGTTGCTCCTTTTCTAACTCTTTGAGTTGTAGAGTTAGGTAATTTGTTACCATTTTTTCTTGTTTTTTGCAATAGGCTTTTAGAGATATGAACTTCCCTCTCAAACTTTTTTTTGCTGTGCCCCATAGATTTTTGGGTTGTTGTGTTTTCATTGTCATTTTTTGCCTTGATGTTTTTAATTTCTTTCTTGATTTCTCTGGTAACCCAGTCCTTATTCAATAGCATGTTGTTTAGTCTCCATGTGTTTGATTTCTTTGGATTATTTTTATTGTAGTTGATTTCCAATTTTATGCCACTATGATCTGAGAAGATGCTAGATATGATTTCTATCTTCTTGAATTTGAAGAGATTTTGCCTATGTCCCAACATGTGGTCTATCTTTGAGTATGACCCATGTGCACTTGAGAAGAATGTATATTCTGTGGCTTTGAGGTGAAATGTTCTGAAGATGTTGATTAATTCCATCTGGTCTAGTGCATCATTTAGGATTGATGTTTCTTTGCTGATGTTTTGTTTAAATGATTTGTCCAAAGGTGCCAGTGGGGTATTAAAATCTCCTACTATGATTGTGTTGCTATTAATTTCTCCCTTAATGTCCTCCAGCTCCTGTATTGGGTGTGTATATGTTTACCAGGGTTATTTCTTCATGTTGGATTGCTCCCTTTAATATTACGAAGTGGCCTTCATTATCTCTTGTTATGTCCTTCACTCTGAAATCTAATTTTTCAGATATAAGTATTGCTACCCCAGCTTTTTTTTCTCATTTCCATTCGACTAGAAAACCCTTTTCCATCCCTTCACCCTCAGTCTGTGTGCGTCTTTTTTTCTGAAATGGGTTTCTTGTAGATAGCAGATATATGGGTCTTGTTTTCTTATCCAGTTCATTACTCTATGTCTTTTGATTGAAGCATTTTATTTGTTTACATTTAAAGTTATTATTGATAGGTACTTATTTGACACCATTTTTATTCTATACCTTTGTGTTCCTTCTTTGGTTCCTATTTCTTTATTTTTACAGTAGACCCTTTAGCATTTCTTGCATTGCTTGTTTGGTGGAGTTAAATAACTTTAGTCTTTTTTTTTTTTTTGTCTTGGAAGCTCCTGATTTCACCTTCAATTTTGATTGATAGCCTTGCTGGGTACAGTATTCTTGGATTCAGACCATCCCTTTGTATGACTGTATATTTCATCCCATTCTCTTCTGGCCTGATGAGTTTCTGTTGAGAAATCAGTTGCTAGTCTGATGGGAATTCCTTTATATGTAACTTTCTGTCTCTCTCTGGCTGCTTTTATGATTCTTACTTTGTCGTTGGTGTTTGCCAATTTAATTATAATATGCCTTGGCATTGGTCTTTTGGGATTCATTTTGCTTGGGACTCTGCGAGCATCTTGGATTTGTGCAGGGTTTTTTCTTCTTTATCTTAGGAAAGTTTTCTGTCATTATTTCTTGAAATACGTTTTCCGTGTCTTCCTTGGTTTCCTTTCCTTCTGGAACCTTGTTATTCTAATATTGTTTTGTTTTGTATTTTCCCAAAGCTCCCGTAGGCTCTCCTCCTGCTTTTTAATTTTTTTTCCCTAGAAGCTTTTCTAATGGGGTATATTTTTCCATCTTATCTTCTAGCTCACTGATGCAGTTCTCTGCTACTTTTAGTCTACTCTTGATGCTTTCTATTGTGTTCTTCATAGTAGCAATGCCATTTTTCATTTCTTCTTGGTTCATCTTCATTTCTTCTGGGTTCTTCATTTCTCTTGGTTCTTACCCATGTTGTCAAATTTGTCTTCCATTCTTTTTAGCCATCTTATGATCATTACTCTGAATTCTTGTTCTGGTAGGTTGCTTGCCTCTAACTCATTTACTTACTTTCTGGTAATGCCTACTTTTCTTTCATGTGCGGGCTATTTCTTTGTCTCCTCATGGTCTCTCTTTTTCAGGATGTCTGGTTATGTAATTCTCTTTCTCCTTTCTGTGGGTGATTCAAGAACTCCCTTGAATCCATGTGTTTGCGCTGATTGGGGTGTCACAGCTGTTCAGTGGTCTCCACTGTTGTGGGTTTTTCAGGCCTCAGATAAGATCTTCCTTTCTTTGTAATATGGCGTAGTTTTCCCTCTGAGCCCATAGCTCTGGGAGAGGTCTCCACCACAGTGCGGGCTGCTTGGTCAGGAAATCCTATCCAGAAGACTTCTACCTTCTCTTAGAGTTCTGCTACCCCTTAGCTTGCCAACTAACACTCCCTGAATGGCTATCAGGCACTCCTTCTATCTGCTCTGGGACTAGGCTCAGAACAGGTCCATCTGTTTGGCCACCATTTTGTCTTCAGAGGTGAGTTTTCATGTATGCAACTTTTATCTAAATTTGTCCCTAAACACATGCATTCCATTTATCTTTCCCCAAAAGCACTTTCTCACTCTCACAAGCCTTCTGATAAGCAGAGGAAGGATGGAAGGCTTCTTTATGTGGAGAAAAGCATCTCTGATTATTTTTATTTTAATCCTAATTCATGTGTTCTCAAACTTTGGTGCACTTTGCAATCACCTGAGAAGCTTTCAGAACAACTCCAGGTCATACTCAATGTCAGATGAATCAGATAAATCAGATGAATAATAGTGGGAGAAGGCAGTTTGTCAAACTCCTCTGATGGTCCCAATGCACAGCCAAGCCTGGGAACCACACTGCCTGGTTAGAGGGTAAGAGGAAGAGAACTCCTTCTCATTCTTGGTGGGACCTTCAGGAAGTCAGTTTTAAGCCTCAGTTACCTGCTCTGTAAAATGGGTTGTTGAATTAAATATCACCACAAGTTCATTGGCTCTTTTTAGCTTCTATATTTCAAATTCTGTGATTTTAAAATCAATATAAAGATGAAACTGTTTAAAGCACTAAACAAGTACTTTAATACTAGCAATGCTACAGGCCTTTTTACAATTGCTAATATTTTATAACTGCTGGGGTGTTTCTCTATCTAGAAGGGTTCAGGAATCTGGAGAAGAGGCTGTAGTGAATTAAATAAACTAGACATGAAATATAAATTTGGGAGGTATTTTTGGGGGAAGCAAGGGAAGGCTTAGCTTTAGTAGCTGAGTTCCCCCGAGTCTCTTGACCCCTAGGTTTTTATTAACACATTTTTACCTATAGCAAAACAGATATACATATTAAAGATAAGGTTTGGTAAACAGTAGATTATCAGGTTGGAGGAACTGCCTTCGGCTGTTCCAGCTGCAGGTAATAACATGCAGATGTTCAGCCCTGCTGAATGAGTCCATTCAACCTTTTGAGGACTTCTTGCATTTATTATGACCCTGCTGGAATTAGCCTCCAGCATATAACCTATTTATAAAATTCAGTTTTGCTTCCCTCAATTATTTTGAGCTTCATATTAGACACTGAGAGCAAAGAGGAAAAGCATGGAATTTAATCCACAGCACCCCTTTGTTTCATGTTACACAGCATCTGGGAATAACTTAGGGATATAGCAACTTAGACAGTATCTGAGGACTTACATCTGATCATTAAAATGATATTAGGGGAAGGTGGGGATAAGGGAGAGAGATCAACCAAAGAACTTGTATGCATGCATATGAGCCTAACCAGTGGAGGGGGACAATAGGGGGGTTGGGGGCATGTGTGGCAAGGGGTTTGGGATAAAAATGGGGGAATGAGGACAAATAAGTGATATCTTAATCAATAAAGAAATAAAAAATAAAATGATATGTAAAATAATTTGGAAATAAATGCTATTAATATTATACTGTGTATTAATTGCTGCATTGTTAGCACTACTAATTTTAGAATTGTTAGAACTATTGATTTTGTGGGTTCTAATATTTGCCATTAAAATTTCTAACAATCATATAAAAGTGACCTTAAATGATTCTGTTTGGGAGAGAGCATTTTATTTACCTTTGTGGAACTGACAGACAATGGGTGGGCAGGTGGAAGAACTGCTGTATGGCTTAAATTGAAGCATGTGCACAAGTAGATCTAATTTGTACAGGTGAAAGGTTCTGTGGGTAGAAGGGCAAATGACAGAGGAAATGTGTAATATCTTATGTATTATAATAATCATTGGAAACATGTCTTCTTACTGATATGCCCTAGCATTTTGGTTTTCTAATTTTGCTAAAAGACAAAGAAATAGAACAAAGTGAAGAGTGCCCATGTGATACTGTTCTGAATGAGGATTTCATGGCCACTGGGCTGGTGGGAAGGTCTTCCCCAACCACAACCCTTTTAAAACATGTCTTCAACCCTGACATAAAGTCGATTTTTACTTTTTCTTTTCTCCACAGCATGGCATTAGCCATCTACTACCATATAAAAAATAGGTGAGTTTAAAACCTGTCTTATTATTCTAGCTAATAAACTTACAAGATATAAAGTTAGTGTTAGGTTTTAAATATAAACACTGTTGGAGTAATCTATGGTGCTTTCATTACATTACTAAAGGCCTGATGCACAAAATTCATGGAAGGGGCTTGGCCCTAACAGCCATGGCTTGCCTGGGTCCTCACAGCTCTGGCTTAACCCAGAAAGTCATGCAGAATGTTGTCTAGAAGGTCTATCAGTCATCTGGTCTAATTAGCATATCATGCTTTTATTATTATAGAAGATTGAAGTGCATCACATGTCTTTGTCTTAGGACTCTTAATGCTTAAGTGATTGAGGATACCAAAGAAGATTTGTTTATGTGGGCTATATTGATATTTACTGCATTAGAAATTAAAATTGAAAATTTTAAAATAAATCCCTTGTATGTTGAAACATGGTTTTCATAGCACTATGGAAATTTTGAGCAGGATACTGCTTTGTTGTGAGGGATTGCCTTGTGCTTTACAGGATGTAGCAGCTTGCCCAGCCTCTCCTCACTACCGTGTTTCCCCGAAAATAAGACATCCTCCGAAAATAAGACCTAGCACATGGAAAGATAAGACATCCCCTGAAAATAAGACCTAGCGCAACTTGGGAGAAAAAATTAATATAAGACTCTGTCTTATTTTCGGGGAAACAGGGTAGATGCCAGTAGCACCTTCTTCCCAGGTCTCTTTGTGACAACAAAAAAGTTTCCTCCATGGCCGAATGTTTCCTGGGGGACTAAATTGCCCCTGATAGGGAGCCATAGCATTAACATAATTCTTTATAAAAGAGAATCATTTTCCACAACAAATAGGCCAAGTGGAAATTGTGTCATTTATATTTTGCTAATCTCCTTATGTCTGGCTTAACAGAAGACAGTTGATTCTCATGCCCACCCTGTCTTCACACCTTTGTGATTACTTCAATCATCTCAATAATTTGTTTTGAATAAACAATTGAAGACCTAGCCTCATATAGTTTTATGGGCATATTTTTAAAGCCTTCAGAAAATTGTGTATATTCTTTGATATTGTACCAAAAGTCCACAAGAGCTGGTTTCTTAAATTAGTTACCTGAACTTGTACTAAGGTCTCTTTTAAATTAGTACCCATTAATATATCTTGTATGCTGAATGAGTCTTTTTACTTATAAGTAATTTTGTAATATTATGCCTTGGTCGTTCAGAAAGTATTGGTCCACATTTCTGTATACAATATCAAAACTCACTTTTGTTATTTAGCTTCATTATTACCACTACTTCTTCCCAGAAAACCATTAGGTATTGAAAAGCTGTCAAGCTGACAAAAAAGGTACAAGTTTTCCCCATTCTTGATTTTCAGCTTGTTAGCTGGAATTGTGCAATGGGCAAGAGATGTATAAATTATTTTCTTTGAAGTAACAAGCTCACTTTTCAGCTTTGAGATTATGACACTTGTACTATCAAATAAAGATGCTATTCTGTGAAAACAGTAGCACATTCAGCTCACAACTAAGTTAAAGTCCAAATGCCTTTCCTTAATACCCACCTTGCAGTATGCACAAGTGCCTACTGCATGCTTCCCCTTAGCATATAAAAAACGATCAATATTTAGTAGCATTATTCACTGTTAATTCTTTATCAAAGATGTGCTTTAGTAGATTTGTTTTCAGCAAGTGGCAGTAAAGAACAGAATGACTACTACCACAGGTTGGGACCCCAGCCTTGATTCTTGCTCAGAAACTAGTTTTACTCACTTGCTTTTATACAGTCATTGCAACTGTCAGTGTACATGCAGGCAATGCCTTAATATTTCTATACACACAGTTTTGGCCTCATGGGTCTCCTGAAAATGGTCTAGTGGGACCACTGAAGCCTGCAAAACACTCTGGGAGAAACACTGTGTAAATGAGCAGAGTGTATCGTGTGGAAAATGAAACTTAAAAAAGAAGAAGCCTGGTTTCCCTGGCACAGTTGGTTGGAGCATCATCCTGTACATGACAAAGTGGCAGGTTCAATTCCAAGTCAGGGCAGCACGTACCAGGTTGTGGGTTCAATTCTGTTAGACCATGTACCTAGGTTCCTGGTTCGATCATCAGTCTAGCATGTGCAGGAGGCAGCCAATCGTGTCTGTCTGTCTGTCTCTCTCTCTCTCTCTCTCTCTCTCTCTCTCTCTCTCTCTCTCTCCCTCCCTCCCTCCCTCCCTCCCCCCTTCTTTCTCCTTCTTCCTCTCTCTAAAATCAATAGACTGTTCACTTTTAAAATAAAAAGGTAGGATTTTAACTCAGACTCTTTTAAAGAGACCAGAAGAAATACATAATAAGAAAATAGTATGGGTAAGTGATAAGAGAAAACAAATAGTGAAGGAAAACAAAACAAAACTAAAAACACTAGGAATCTCATATTCACCATGAAGATTGCCCACCCCTACTGCTTTGTAAAATGTTCCTGTGGCTGCCAAAGAGAGGTTAGAGGAGTGACAATCGATTTGATTGACTAGCATTGCCTGTTAGGGAGTCAGTGCTTATAAAGGCAACCCTGGCTGGTCACTGTAGAAAAGATTTCACAGAATTTGATGTGCTGAGTAAAAAGAGGTCAGGCAATGCCTACAGGATCTAAGAGGAGAATCTGTAGAAGGACTTTCTTTGTTGAAGGTTAAGCTCCCTCCACCCCTCTGTACTCCCAGCAGATGTGTTGCTAACAGAATTCTTGGATTAGTTTTTAAAATCACGTTCTTATTTTCTAGAGATGACAATAGATCCAAGGACATTTTTGATGAGAGGATCCACCCTTTCACTGTAAGTGCCAGTTGTATTAAGGTGGTCTTTTTCTCTCAGACAATTGTCTTTATCCCATGCTGATTTGCTTTGAAATTAATCTCCAGTAAAAAATTATTCCCTCTAGCTTGGGGTCAACACTACTTTCCTTTAAGTTTTCTTCCCCACCCCATGTTGTATCTAATATTTAACAAAGGGAATGTTGTATGAGAAATATGTCAGTAAGACCTGAGCTTCAGCTTTGTATACTAGTAATTAGTGAGCTAAAGTGGGTCAACACACCCAAAAAACAAAAAAATGTATCTTTAAAAAAGATAATTGCATAAATTTTAGCATCAAGCAATATGAATGTTTATAAATTTAAACAGATATGTGAAAAAACTCTATGAATAAAATTTAAAAACTCTTTAAATTAATTAGAATTACAGAAACACTTTTAATTCACTTCTTCAGACATGTTCTATGGCACTATGTGGCTGTGACCTCTGCACAGCACCTTCCAGCCTTAGAGATCGAAGGTTACAGGAAACTGAAAGCACATTTTTAGAGTTGATTGCAGAGAAGAATGACCTGGCGACCAGCAAGTCTTTTTAAATTTAATTAAATTAAATTTAATTTTCTCTTTCTCTTTTTATTGTTTAAAATAATACAAATAGTAGTACATATGTCTCCTTTTTTCCCCCCAATTCACTTTCCCCCAGCCTCCCCTCCCCCCTCACCACCTGTTTTGAGTCCACAGATAGTTTGCGTTTAGACTGAATCCTGTGGGGGAAGGGGGAAAGGAATATACAGTTTTTGAGGTTGTGACTGTATTTATCTTTAATGAGTGTCCCATTCAATGAGGTTGTGCCTGTATTTATCTTTAATGAGTGTCCCATTGTTTTTATTTAAAAGAGTAAGAGACATGTCACCCAATCAGAATTATTTTAAGGGGCACATGGGCACAAGTGGAAGAGTGCTGCCATAAAAGAACGTAAGCATTTTTCTGCAGTGGATACTTACGTTGCATTTTTTTTCTCTTTCCAGCAGAGCAAGGTTCGGGAGGAACACTTTACACAAAATCCTGATCTTGGATCTATTTACGCATTCATTCACCCGTTTTTTGTAACTATGAGAGTAACAGCGGGTTATGCAATAGCAGCCTTGGTAAGAAGTTCTTTCAAAACTTTATTAAGGGAACCCTATCAAAGGAAGTAAAGTTCACACATTTGAGCTTAATAATCAATATGATTAAAAACGTCCTTGCTTTTCTCACCACAAAATGGTTGCTATTAAAGGCAGCAGGAGGGAGAGATTTCCAATTTCTCCCCAGATTTCAGGAGACACACGAGTGCACACAGGCACACTTACAAGTGTCTGGTGGGGCAGGACGGGGCAATAACAGAACCTTGTGGGCCCCAGGCAGGGACAGGTTCAGTGTAGGTCTAAGCTGAGTCCCAGGCTGCATTTCCTGGGCAGTTATAACCTGTGTCCTGACTGAGAACTAGAGCCCTGAATTCGCTGTTCCTTGGATGATGGGTGTTCTTCTGTCCTTGCTGTCCTCTTGTGCCTGCCTGTGACATTGCCAGGATTCTAGTGCCATAGGACCTGAAAGGGAATTGCTAGGTGCCTGCTCAGCTACAGCCTTGTAAGGACCTTTGTGTCAGTCACCCAGGATTCCTGTGGAGAGAGTGTATCAATTGGAGTGAGTGGTCCATTCTAGTGAGAAGGAATGGGGATTGTATCACTCCTGCCTCAGGCAATCCTAAGGGGGAAAGTGTCCTGCTTGGTCTGAGGGAAGAGGACTTAGGTCAGCGCCGCCTCCTTCAGTGCTCAGTCAGAATTTTGGAGAGGCAGCCTGTGCTTCCGAATAGAGACCCCTCAATGGCACTGGATCAGACACAGGTCTTTGCTTGGAGCTGTCAGCCATCTGGAGTGCTGAGCGCATGCTGGGGAAAGGCAGGAGTGGTGTCCCACCTGCAGAGCTAGGGGATTCAGCAAGGAGAGCACTGGGTTGGAAGAGGGTGAGTCCTTGCAGACACATTGAGCTAGATGCTCCTGAGAGACAGAGGGACAGTCTCTAGGGATCATTCGAAAATAGGGAATTAGAGCATGAATCTGAGCTAGAGGCAGGGAATTAGTACTAGCTATTCCAATGTTGAAAAAGCCTATAAATAAAAAGTGCATGGAAGATAGAAGAGTGACAAGAGCAGGTATTCAGTGGCTGTTTTTGGAATGAGCAACTTCTTGGCAGCATGGAGCACTTTGACCTCACTCTCCTTCTGGAACCTCACTTATCTTCCTTCGTTTTTATTGTTTTGCCACCACGCTGAGCCACTCCTGGTGACTTCTCCCTTCAGTGCTGAGTCCTTAGTGCTGAGGATAGAGGAGAGATGTGGTTGAATAAAGTGTTTGCTTTTATGGAGCTTCTGTCCTAGTGAGAAGACATAAATATTTCTTTAAATGAGTGTTGTTAAAAGGTGGATAAGTCAGGTGGTCAATACCAGGAAGGTACATTAGGGGGACGTGATAAAGTGCTGACAGGCGCTTGCTACTTTTGAGAAGGGATCTGGAAGAGCTCTGTAAAGAGATGACATCTGAACCCTGGCCTGACTGCACTGAGGAAGATGAGGAGCTCTGGTGTGTGTGCAGAGGGAACAAGTGCCAGATTCTGAGATGGGAACTTATACTTGGTATTTGAATAAGATTGAGGTATGGCCAGTGTGGTCAGAGTGGAATAAGGGAAAGATGTAGCACATGAGGGCCAGGAGCACACATGCCATCTGATTGGGCCTTACAGCTTGTAGGCCAAGGGAAAAAGTGACATTTTTATTTGTTTGGTGGAAACCTTTTGACAGAGTTGAGCAGGGTGGGCAAGCACTCTTGATTAAAAAGGCTATCCTGGCTGCTTTGAATAGAGGCCGAGAAGTCCTGGCAATAGCAGTGACACAGGTGAAAGCAATTTGACTACCAATGACAGGCATAGATAACAAGAATTTCTAACAGATTGCTGCAGATTGACTCAACTGAAAGTCTTTGGCCAAGCACCTAGGCCAGTGGTCAGCAAACTGTGGCTCTTTGGCCCCTTGAGTTTTTAGCAAAGGCCAGCTTAGGAGTACCCTAATTAAGTTAATAACAATGCACCTACCTATATAGTTTAAGTTTAAAAATTTTAACTCTCAAAAGAAATTTCAATCGTTGTACTGTTGACATTTGGCTCTGTTGACTAATGAGTTTGTCGACCACTGGCCTAGGCAAATGGCAGTGTCCCACATGACACTAGGGAGTGGGTGTGGAGTGGGGTTCTGGTGTGAAGAGCTCTGGTTTGTATGTGCTAACGCATTAGCAGTAGTAGTTTCAGTCCAGTGGCAGTGCCAGGGCAGACTACAGGGGGTGAAGGGGAGAGTGGGAGATGAGAAGCAGCATCAGGGCGTTCACTGTGAGCAAACAGAGAGAAAGCACCAAAGGGGTTGTGGGGTGGGATGGGCACCATATAAAGACATTCATATTGGGGAGAGTGTCTGGGCCACAGGGAAGTGTTCAAAAGAGGAAATTGTGGGAGGTTTTCTTCAGAAGTGGGATGGGATCAATTTCACTGCTACAAGAGTTTCAGTGACAAGAGAAATCCCAATTCCAATGACTCAGGGAGGCAAGTGGTATAAATGAATGATTAATGGCACATACCAAGTCTACAGCAAAGATTGTAGGAAGTTGAGTGATTTCCAATGTTGTGTATGTCTCTAATTATTCCCATCAAGTAAATAATTGAACCTTGTAAGCATATGATATCTGAGCACATTGAGCTTTTGGAGATTGGCGCAAATTTTCACTAAGAACACATAATGTTTAATAACTGTTTTGTTTTGATTTATTATAATACAGTTGGGTTTGCATAGCTTTGGCAAATGTGAGCTGTCAATCTGATAACCTCAGACAGTGAACATCCTCTTTAAAATGGGACTTTTCCCTCTTTGTTTTATGGCTTACATACTCTTTTTCAAAGAACCCTTGAGGTAAAAACAAATCACAGCTATCTTCTATAATCTTTGCTTAGCTGCTACCTTCACTCAGTTCTTTGTAGAATAGACATGTAATGCATGTGGAGAAATCATGAGACCTCACCAGTTCCCTGGCAGGCTTAGAGGAGAACCAGGGAGACATGGACTGGCAGCTCTGCTACCACCTGAAACCAGCAGAACCGACTGAGCTTCAGATTGTGTAAAACAGAAATAGATCTATTTCACAGAATCGTGATGGAGATATGAGGCTTAGGAGACATAAAAGGACTATCCTTGGTGTGCATCAGTGTTTCTTATTGTGTAAAACAGAAATAGATCTATTTCACAGAATCGTGATGGAGATATGAGGCTTAGGAGACATAAAAGGACTATCCTTGGTGTGCATCAGTGTTTTCTTATAAAGTCCAAGACAGTTGTAAACACCTGATTGAAACACAGCTGTTTACACTACCTGTCCTGCTGCAGCACACAGCAACCACTGGGGGGCTGTTTTGAAAAACAAAGTTTATCTTCAGCTGGGCCACAAAGGGACTAGTTACTATGTAGAGAAGGTACAAATGTGCTCAGTATTGGCAGGGATTTACCTATACAAGGTTATGTAAAATCACCATTAACTACCTGCCAGGTAGGAAACAGCGCACTTGGTGGGCACTCCAGAATCTGCACTGGGCCTGGATATGCTGCCCTTTGCAGGTGGGAAAGTAAGAACATTTCTTTAGGAATTCTTTGCTAACTTGTCCACTCCTTCCTGTGACCAAAAGTTGGGCTGGAAATTCACATGGGAAAGTAGGCAATGGAAGTATCTGATTTGCAAATATGATATGGCCTCTGACTTTGACAGGCCAACTAGTCTCTTGGCCAGAACCTAAGAATAAAAGGCATATTGAAACTGTCGATACCTGTCATTCTTAATAGTTATTATCACAGCATTTAAACTGAGCTATAACTTACTTTTGCAGGTATACATAGAAAGGCTTTTAATTTATGCCAAAATCGACCTTTGCCCAAGTAACTGGAGACGAATTGTTTTGGGAGCAATCATTCTAGCTTTCAAGTATTGGCACGATCCGGAAATATCAAATGAAACATTCTGTAAAATCTGCAGGGGCATGACAATAAAAAACCTGTGAGTTGCAAGGTTTTGGTAAACTTTCAAATCATTTTTCATTACTTTATATACCCCCATAAAATTTACAGATTAAGAAATATTTTTAAAGTTTAAATTGTGCAGAGAACTGAAGTATGCATAAAATTACATACATTTTACCCTAGCTTGTTTGGCTCAGTGAGTACAGCATCAGTACAGACTGAACGGTCCCAGGTTCAATTCCAGTTAAGGGTACATAACTGGGTTGTAGGCTCAATTCCAGTCGGGGCATGATAGGGAGGGAATAAGAAGCAAACAATTGGTTTTTCTCTCTCTCTCCCACCTCCCTTCTTGCTAACCTCCCTCCCTCTTTTCCACTCTCTAAAAATCAATATTAAAATATCCCTCGGTGAGGATTAACAACAACAACAAAAATTACATATGTTTTCTATTCACATTTGCTACAACATATCATATTCTTTCTCATTAATTAGTTGGTTTCCATTCATAATTATTCTAATCTGTGTGATAATTTGTAATGTATTTCTCTGGTGGTTATTGGCAAACATTGTACAAGTTCAGATGCACAAGCAACCGTACTTTAAATATCTTTACGGCTTTTGTAGGGCTGCCTACCTGTTCCAGTTCTTTTTTTATTGGTGTTCTCCTTTATAAAATTTATTTATTTTTATTATTCTTGTCAATAAGACTTTATATTTAATATTATTTTGTATTAGTCTTAGGTGTACAGCATAATTGTTAGAAAATCATATCCTTTGCAAAGTGTTTTCCACAATATTTTTAGTACTGACCTGACACCATACCTAGTTATTGTAGTATTAATGACTATATTTCCCAGGGCTTACTTTATATTTCCATGAGTATTTTGTAACTGCCAATCTGAACTGCTCAATTTCTTCACCTTTTTCACCCAGCCTCTTAAAATGCCCCCTCTCTGGTCACCATCAGAATGTTCTCTGTATCTATGAGTCTTCTTTTGTTTTCTTTGCTCATTTATATTGTTCTTTGGGTTCCACATATAAGTGCAATCATATGGTATTTGTATTTCTCTGACTGACTTATTTCACTAACATACTACCCTCTAGGTCTCACAAATGGCAAGATTTCATTCCTTTTTTATATGTTAACTAGAGGCCCGGTGCACAAAATTTGTGCACAAGGGTGGGGTGTCCCTCAGCCCAGCCTGCACTCTCTCCAATATGGGAACCCTCGAGGGATGTCCTATTGCCCATTTAGGCATGATCAGTCGGACATCCCTCTCACAATCTAGGACTGCTGGCTCCCAACTGTTCACCTGCTACCTTCCTGATTGCCCCTAACGACTTTTGCCTGCCAGCCTGAACATCCCCTAACCACTCCCCTGCCAGCCTGATTGATGTCTAACTGCTCCGCTGCCAGCCTGTTTACCCTCAACTTCCCTCCTCTGCCGGCCTGGTCACCCCTAACTGCCCTCCCCTGCAGGGTTGATTGCCCCCAACTGCCCTCCCTTGCTCACAACTTTCCTCCCTTGCTGGCCATCTTGTGGTGGTCATCTTGTGTCCACATGGGGGCAGGATCTTTGACCACATGGGGGCAGCCATCTGTGTGTTGGAGTAATGATCAATCTGCATATTACTCTTTTATTTGATAGGATAATACTCTACCATTTTTTTATACATTCATTAGTTGATGGCACTTGAGTTGCTTCCATAGGGTGGGGATTGTAAATAATACTGCAGTGAACATAGGGTGCATATATTCTTTGGAATTAGTGTCTTGGGTTTCTTTGCATATATATCCACTTAAGGAAGTTCCATTTTTTAATTACTTGAGAAAAACTCCATACTGTTTTCCACAGTGGCTGCACCAATCTACATTCTCACCAAAAATGACAGGGGTTCTCTTTTCTCCATATTTTTGTCAATACTTTCTTTTTAAAAATGTTATTGATGATCGCCATTCTGACAGGTGTGAGGATATCTCATTGTGGTTTTAATTTACATCTCTCTGAGGACTGGAGATACTAAGCATCTTTCCATATGTCTATCAGCCATCTGTATGCAATCTTTGGAGAAGTGTCTGTTCAGGTTCTCTGTCCACTTTTTGATTGGGTTGTTTGCATTTTGATGTTGAATTGTATACTTTTTAAAATAAAGTTGGACTATTATGAGATATATCATTAGCAAATATATTTTCCCCTTAGTAGGTTGCCTTTTTATTTTGTTGAAATAGTTCTTTGCTGTCTAAAAATTTTAGTTTGATACAATCCCATTTGTTTTTATTTTTATTTGTTTTACATGCTACAGGTGATGTGTCAACAAAAAAATATTAATAAGAGAAGTGTCCTAGATTTTAATGCCTATGTTTACTTCTAGGAATTTTATGGTTTGAATTTAAGTTGATAATCTATTTTGAGTTTTTGTTTGTATATGGTGGAAGAAAGTAGTCTAGCTTCATTTTTTGTTTGTATCTGTTCCATTTCCGCTACACCGTTTTTTGAATAGACTGCCTTTATTCATTGAATGATCTGTCCTCCTTTGTCAAATATTAATTGACTATAGAGTCAATTTATCTATAGGCTTTCTATTCTGTTCCATTGGTCTACATGTTTCTTTTTATGCCCATACCTTGGTGTTTTGATTACTATAACCCTGCAGTATAGTTTGATAGCAGGTAGTACTTTGTTTGTCTTTCTCTAGATTGCTGTGACTTTTTAGGGCCTTTGGTGATTCCATATAAAAATTTGGATCATTTGTTCTACTTCCGTAGAAGCTGCCATTGGTATTTTAATAGGAATTTTATTTTGGATGCTATGACATTTTAAAGATGTTAATTTTTCCTATCCATGGGCATGTTATATGCTTCCATTTGTTTGTATCTTCCTCAACTTCCTTGTTAGGTGTTCATAATTTCCAAGAGTTTTCCCCACAGAGATATTAGTGGTGGCCCTCAATGGATTGTTTTGTTACTGTGATGATGTGCCCAAAACTTTTGTTGACACTTCTCTACTTTACTAATCTCCTTCCTTTTACGGGCCTGGTGAAAATGTCTGCAAGTTTGTCAGGGCTAAGGAACAGTATGCAATCATTCCTTCCATCTAAACACTAGCTTGGGGCCCTGTGAGTGAGCAAGGAGAATGAGCCTACAGCTGCACTAATAGGACTCTGATGAATCAGCCCCTATTGTCAGCAGCAGTTGAGCACAAGAGACTTAACCTCCTCCCCTTGTGCAAAATTCAAAGAGCTGGATGCAAGAGGGACAACAAATAGCTATACCTTGTCTATGTTTGTTTAAATGATAGTGTATTAGTCCAGCTGGGTAGCCTTATTTGTTTTAAAAACACACACACAAAAACAACAACAATAACGCAGAGTCAACCTAATAGTTTAGAATGATAATTTTGAAGATAGCCAGGCTGACTAAAATTGCTCTGAATTGATTTTGTGTTTTCCTTCTTGTCCAGAAATGAGTTGGAAAGGCAATCCTTTTATCTACTACAGTTTAGTCTTACTGTTTCTCTCAGTGTCTATGCCAAATACTATTTTGACCTTCGGTCCTTAGCAAATGACCATGGACTGCCTATTGAATTTTCTCCTCTTGGAAAAGAAAGAGCACTGAACCTAGAGGTAAGGCTGTGGATTCACAAAGTGGGGTTTGCTGCCAGACACCAAAATCAATATCTGTGGATAAACCATATCATGTAGTGACTAGGAAAATGAAAAGCTTTTTTAACTAGCTCATGGAAGAAGACTTATGAAGTCTTTCACATAATATTAGTGATATCTCTTCTGGTTTATTTAAGAATCCCACATTATACAAAAATGATCTCTGTGCCCATGATACAGAATAGTTTATATCCAACTTAATCTTGGATGGTGTTTTTTTGAAACTCTGTTCTTAATTCATATAAATATATGAATAATTTCTTACAATTGTATCACTAGTCACATCTACAACCATATTTTACTTACCATTGTTAATTCAGTTTGCAAATCCATCCCTTTTCTGTAAATATCATGGTTTAGTACCTTTAGTCTGTTAACAGATCTAACCTGAGAAACTTATACTTAGATTGTAGAATATATGCTTCAAACACTTGCTGTAGAAAGTATATAGGTTTTTAATGGAGACAGTAAAGTACATTGAACAAAGTAATTATGACTTATGGCTTTTGGCAAATATACAACAAAATTATTCTCAATGGAAATTGACACTTTCCGTGGTACTTTGATGGTCCTTTATAATAAGATGTGTTTCTACATTAATTGATGTGCAACTGAAATAGTACCTTAATAGTGCTTAAAGAATTAGCGTTTTCCTACCTTTCAATTAAGTACAACCCATGCCTGCCTCACTAAAATTTGCCTGGAGTAAATGCTAACTAATGAAGATCAGCTACAATTTAAATAGCTGAGTCAACAATGACTTTGTACAAGTGTAAGTTTATTATATTTATAGAACCAAGTATATAGGCAACAGATGATATTGTTGTTAGGACCTTGTCACATCTTTGACATTATTGAGAAAATCCAAAGTGTAAATTCTAAGTTCCTCTTTGCTCTGGCAATCCAGTCACAGTCCCAAAATGACTTACTGTAGTGAATGAGCATGAAGTAGGATCCCAAGAACCAAATAGTGTATACGCCAGCTCTCCGAAGAGGCAATAACTATAACCCATATAAAGAAGTGGAAATATATTGCTATCAGGGATGCTTTCTCTAAGAAAACTGGAATTTTTACATTTTGAATGTCCTTGTGCTCTATCTCATTTCTCCTCCTAGGCCATTTCCAGATATTGTGAAAACAAAAAACAGTTCAGGATGGCCATAAAAAAAACTGGCAGCTGTGATAAGCTTACTGATGGGCAGCATGCTGATGCCGTCATATCTTAAGGAGGAATGAGGGCTGTGACATGATGAGCCCCTCATCTGCAAAGACTGTACAAGAATCAGCACTCCTGCTCCAATATAGCTAAGTTATTATTTTTTTTAATGGAGATTGGGGGGTACTGACATAATGATTTCTCACTTAACAAAACAAGTACTGTTTAAATATAACATTCCCAGTTCTGTTAAGTTTATTATTTTCTTGTAAAGATAAATGAAAGCTTTTAAACCTCATGAGGATCTTTTTAGTCTATGCTTAATTGATGATCCTTAGTATTTTTCGTTTCCCTTTTGATTATTTTTATTACTAGAGGATATTACATTAGTTTATTTTCATTTTTTTTTATTTAAAAAAAAGTTCTAATTAACCTCGTATTTAACAATATTGTTTGAGCTTTAAAACCGTCATTTAAAAAATTTAAATTACCTATTTCTATATACTATAGTTTCAAATGTTTTAATGTTTACTTTGATATTGGCGAAAATGGATTTCTCAGACAGAAAGAAATTTCTTAAATATTTTCCATTGCTTCTTAGAGCAAAAGGGGCACTTTACCCCCCACTTGATTCCTACCCCACGACTCCTTTTATGTGCTCTTTGCATTCCTCCTCAACCTTTTTGACATTGTTGGTGTTTATGAATTATTTTAAAATTGGTTTAGTTCTAAGTTTTAATTATAGTACTTCAGGAATTGAAGATTTCTCTACCTTTTAAGGTGGTTTTAGAGAAGAGGGGAGAGAGGGAGAAACATAGATGTGATAGAGAAACATTCATTGGTGGCTTCCCAAGACATGGGATCAAACCCCAAATCTGCGCATGCTCTCTGATTGGGAATCAAACCCACAACCCTTTAGGTATTGGGAAGACACTCCAACCATCTGAGTCACCCAGCCAGGTCAAAGATTTCTCTTTCAAAGAAATTCAATAACAACTATTCTTATTATAAAAATCATATATTGTGTGGGCTTTAACCTTTGAAAATTGTTGTGTAACTAACCTAAAAACTGACAGAATGAAGTAGTGAAATACAGATTTCTGGTGGTATAGAAGCTCGATACAGAGGCTGCCTTTCTGCATATCTTTCCAAGACCTTCTTGCTAGTCTTTTGGTAATTGGTAGTTCCAATGGCTTGGCTTATCTATATATATAAAAGGCTAAATAACCAACCGTCCATCCATATGACCATCCAAGTGACTGGCCGGTACGTATGATGCACACGGGACATTTAAAAATAAACCTTAACTCATGCATGCATGATACATAGAAAGCTCTAGCTGACATACAGTTGGTCACTTAATCACATATATATTCATTATGACATGTAATTTTGGCAGTAATACGATTACTGCAGGAACCCTTCTTCTAATTAATTTCCTTTCAATGTGCACAAATTCGTGCACTGGGCCATTAGTATTGAATAAGTAACTTATTCTACCTATAATGCATGCCATTAGCTATCCTGTCTGAAAATGGTTTTTACGGAAATTAGACAACCGATTTCTAGAAAGTAAATTTTCATTGTTTGTGATCTACATCTTGCTTTCCCTGTAGGACTGTCTGTGATGCACTGTTGCCTTTTTGAGCTAAAATGTGTCTCTGATGTCAGCATTTTCTCTCTTTCCTCTGCAGTTACAATGGCCAATTCTAATAGCACATTAGCAAGGAAGAATTTTAAAAATTTAAATAGCCCCATGATATTTCTTCTTGAGACTTTTCACGCTTAACATTTCAAAGAATTTAACATGTTTAGAGTTGATAATACAGTTGAAGTAAGTGAGTAGAAAATATTCATAAGGATGACAAAAGTGTAATTAAGATTGGTTTAAATATTTTCCAGGTTTTACTGGGTTGCTCTAAGCATATTTAATATCTCTAGGGTTATGAACATTTTTGCTGGAATGGCTCAACTAATTGAAATTATAAAAAAAAAAAGATTAGGTGATTAAGGCCAGTCCCTATTAAAAAGTAAGGAAATAGTAAGATCTTTTTTTATAACTTAAAAAAATCTTTATTGTTCAAAGTATTGCCTATATTCCTCTTCCCCCATTGATGTCTTTCAGTCCGCTTCTACCCTATCCCCAGGCTTTCACCACCCTATTGTCTGTCCAAGTTATGCACATATGCATACAACTTCATTGGTTGATCTCTTCCTTGGAACCTCAGGGTCCCCTGCCATCCCCTGAGGTTTGACAGTCTATCTGATGGTTTCATATCTCTGGGTATATTTTGTACATTATCTGTTTTTCTGTTTGTTTTTTTTTCCCACTAGGTTCCACATATGAGAGAGCTCATGTGATACTTGTCTCTCTCTCTCTTTCTCTCTCTCTCTCTGACTGGCTTATTTCACTTAATGATGCTCTCCAGGCCCCTCCATGCTATCTCAAAAAAGGGGTAAGAGATTCTTCTTTTTACTGCTGCATGATATTTCATGATATACATGTACCACAGTTTTTTAATCCACTCATCTGCTGAAGCTGTTTCCAAATCTTAACTATTTGTAAATTATGGTGCTATGAACGTAGGGGTGTTTATATTCTTTCTGATTGGTGTTTCTGATTTCTTAGGATATATTCAAAGGAAGTTCTATTTTTAATTTTTTGAGGAAACTCTATACTGTTCTCCATTTAGGCTGTACCAATCTGCATTGCCACCTGCAGTGTACTAGAGTTCCCTGTTCTCTACATACTTGCCAACACTTGTCATTTATTTATTTTTTTGATAGCCATCCTGACAGATGTGAGATGGTACCTCATTGTCATTTTGATTTACATCTCTTATATGAGCAGTGCCTTTGAGCACTTTTCATATCCCTTTTGGCTTTCTGTATGTCCACTTTGGAGAAGTGTCTTTTTTAAGTTCTTATCCCAGTTTTTAATTGGATTGTCTTCCTTTTGTTAAATTGTGTGAGTTCCCTATAGATTTTGGAGATTAAACACTTATCCTATATAATACAAGGGCAATATAAATTTGCCCTTAGTAACAACTGGTCCCTATGACAAGCATTGACCATCAGGAGGAAGACACTCAGTGCAGGAGCTGCCCCCTGGTGGTCAGGGAGCTTCCACAGGAGGAGCACCACTCAGCCAGAAGCTGGCTCATGTCTGGCCAGCTCAGCAGAGGTGGCAGCAGCACTAAGGATGTCTGTGGGACAGGTATCACATGGTCTCTCTCTTATGTGGAACCTAGTGAAAAAAATAAACTAAGCTGGCCGTCAGACATCACTCTGGCAGCCAAGGAACCCTTGGGGGATATCTGACTGCCAACTTTGACCTGATTGCCCAGGGAGTGGGCCTAAATCTGCAGGTGGACATCCCCCAAAGCATCCTGGGCTGTGAGAGGGAACAGGCTGGGCTGAAGGACCCTCCCGAGTGCACACATTTTCATGCACTGGGCCTCTAGTTGGATATATAATTGGGAATTATGTTCTCCATTGTTATTTTGTTGATGGTTTCTTTTGCTGTGCAATTCTTGCATTTTGATTGTCCTTGTGCTCTATCTCATTTCTCCTCCTAGGCCATTTCCAGATATTGTGAAAACAAAAACCTGTTCAGGGTGGCCATTAAAATATCTGGCAGCTGTGATAAGCTTACTGATGTGCAGCATGCCGATGCCATCATATCTTAACGAGGAATGAGGGCTGTGACATGATGAGCCCCTCATCTGCAAGGATTGTAGAACAATCAGCACTCCTGCTCAATCTAGCTAAGTTATTTTTTTAAGGGAGATTGGGGGATATTGACATAATGATTTCTCACTTACTAAAACAAGTACTATTGAAATATAACATTCCCAGTTCTGTTAACTTTATTATTTTCTTATAAAAATAAATGAAAGCTTTTAAACCTCATGAGGATCTTTTTAGTCTATGCTTAATTTATGTTCCTTAGTATTTTTCATTTCCCTTTTTAATATTTTTATTACTAGAGGATATTACATTTATTTATTTTCATTTTTTGATAAAAAAGTTCTAGTTAACCTCATATTTAACAATCTCTTTTGAGCTTTAAAACCCTCATTTAAGAGATTTAAATTACCTATTTCTATATACTGTAGTTTAAATGTTTTAATGTTTACTTTGATATTGGCGAAAATGGACTTCTCAGACATAACGAAATTTCTTAAATATTTTTCAATGCTTCTTAGAGCAAAAGGGGCACTTTACCCCCCACCTGATCCCTACCCCACGACTCCCTTTATGTGCTCTTTGCATTCCTCCTCAACTTTTTGGACATTGTTGGTGTATATGAATTATATATTTTACAATTAGTTTAGTTCTGAGTTTTTATTATAGTACTTCAGGCATTGAAGATTTCTCTACCTTTTAAGGTGGTTTTAGAGAAGAAGGGAGAGAGGGAGAAACATAGATGTGATAGAGAAACATTCATTGGTGGCTTCCCAAGACATGGGATCAAACCCCAAATCTGCGCATGCTCCCTGATTGGGAATCAAACCCACAACCCTTTAGTTATTGGGAAGACACTCCAACCATCTGAGTCATCCAGCCAGGTCAAAGATTTCTCTTTCAAAGAAATTCAATAACAGCTCTTCTTATTATAAAAATCATACATTGTGTAGTCTTTAGCCTTTGAAAATTGTTGTGTAACTAACCTAAAAACTGACAGAATGAAGTAGTGAAATACAGATTTCTGGTGGTATAGAAGCTAGATACAGAGGCTGCCGTTCTGCATACCTTTCCAGGACCTTCTTGCTAGCACGTGTCTTTTGGTAACTGGTAGTTCCAATGGCTTATCTATATATATAAAAGGCTAAGTAACCAACCGTCCATCCAAGTGACTGGCCGGTACATATGATGCACATGGGTCATTTAAAAATAAACCGTAACTCATGCATGCATGATACATAGAAAGCTCTAGCTGACATACAGTTGGTCACTAAATCATATATATATTACGACATGTAATATTATTACTGCAGGAACCCTTCTTCTAATTAATTTCCTTTCAATGTGCACAAATTCGTGCACTGGGCCATTAGTATTGAATAA